CGCAAGCCACGTGTCATCTCCCCATTCGTCAACCCACTGTCATGCGTCAAATTCTCTTTTTTTTTTTAAAAAAAATATGCTTTGATGAACAGTAACCCAACTACAAATATACTTATTTTTTCCATTGGGTCTGACAAAACTACGGCCCACTTGGATTACTGTTCATCAATAAAAATGCTCATGTTTTGAGCCTTTTTGGTTTTGCTCATGGGTTTTTTTTTGGATTTTACCATTTTTGGTTGGTGATCAATTTTTTTGCTCATAAAAAATGTCCATGAGCAAAAAAAATTATCACCATTGCTAGTGCTCTAAATGAGTCTCCTTAACAGTTTTCCTCCATTAATTACTTCCCCCTAACAAATCCCCTTCTAATCATTATCCCCCTAACAACTCCCTTAAATCTAGGCAAGCCTTTAGTGGGAATTTTCCCACCCAAATTGTTTGCTGACTTTGACAAAATGGGGCAAATTTCTTGACCCACTTGTTTTCCCTCCTTCTTTTTCCACGAAAATTCAAATAAAGTGCCAAATATTCCCCTAAAATTTAAATGTTCATTCAAATAAACACAAAATCCCCTTATAAATAGGGGTCACCCCATTCAAGTCACCCCATTTTTACCTTATGTTTTAATGGGGGTTGGGGTGGAGGTGGAACCATGAGTATTGTTCACAAAAACCAACATCGTTAAGTTTACAAAAACAGGCAGCCACCTACGAATTGTTAACCTTATATTAATTAAGGTTATTTTAATTGTGTAGGAGGATTCCCTTGATCGTGGTCAAGTGTAGTAGTCGTACCTTAATTGTTCTCGTGATCAAGGTACGTATAGGTGGCTAGATCCTTGATACAAAGTATTGAATGCGTGTTTTATTTCAATAATTGTTAAATATTACGATGAGTTAAAAATATAATTTTTATGACTTAAAGGTTTGATCTTTAAAAGTGTTGTTTAATTTAATAAAAGTTGTTTATAAATCACTTGATTACATGTTATTGAATTAAAGGAATTTATTTAAAATTTTGCAGTTCATTATGGGCCTGAGTATTTAATATTTTATTGTCCCTCTACCCGGGATTGGTTAAGTAAGACCATGAGCTTTGTATGATCTGGTATTTCCTCGAGTACAGTTTAACTTGCTTGGGGGGTGTGCACACTTAGTTGAGGAAAATTAATTTTGGAAATTTGTTTAAAATTGGAATTTCATTGGTTTGGAAAGTTTCTATTAATAGACGTTACTACTTTTGGAAGATTTAAATCTGGAAAGTCCAATTTTGGAAAGTGACCTTTGGCAAGTTTGAATTGGAATAATTATTTCAAAAGCATGTTTGTCTAATAAAAGCATTTACATGCCTTGCACTTATATGTACTTAGCGTTTTGGCTAATTCGTTTTCCTTTTTGTTTTGGTTCGCCCTGTTTACCATTATTGGTAAGCAGTTTGATTTCAGGTGTGAATTGGAGTTGATCGTGCGCATACTTGAGTCGGGATTGGGATCACTTAGTTAGGAGTTTATTCATTCACGAGTCATGTATTATTTGGAGTATTATTTCTTTTTCAAACTATATAATGTAGTTATTACGTTATGAATAAAGTCAGTTATTTTTCCACTGTCATTATTGAATTGGTAGTTCAAAGCCTTACGTTTTCACGTGGCGGTAATGCGCCCAAATCTATCTCTATGGTATTTTATACGTATAAATATAGTATTTACGTAGAGGGAGATTTGTGGGTGTTACAGGCAGCCACCTATGAATTACATCATCCTACAATTAGTAACTAATTACCCTAATTTCTAATTGCCCTGTTAGTAGCAGTAGCATCAATTTACAAAAATTAGGCTCCATTGAAGACCGTGAAAACAAAAAAACAAAACAAAAAAAAAAACATTTAGTTGCCACATCATCACCTTCATCAAATCTAAAAAACAAAAAATCAAAACGGACTCATGGTAAAGCTCTTTGAAGAACTGTTTTTTGGGTTACATAAATTGTATGATAAAGAACAAGCCATGGCAACATATCAGCAAATCATGGATGAAGCATACATAAAAGATGAAGATTTGGGTACCGATGTACTAGACATGGAACATCAACAAGGCAACAATGCAGATGCAGAAGAAGGTTATGAAGCAGATGATGAGGATGCATATAATGATGATGCAAAAAATTATGGCGGGAACAACAGAGAAATGAATATTGAAGAAAAAAGGCAACTTGTTGATGAAATTCTGTTGAACATGGAAGGAGACTCATTACTAAGAGGATTTTTATCCAATTTGGCCTGAAAACATTATGTTCACAGATCAACAACAACAAGATGGTTCCAGGTAATTCAAAACCACATACAAAAGGGGAATGCTATTGATGTAAAGGACCAAAAAATCAGGCAAAATAGGTCCCAAACCTAGAGAATACACAGATGAATGTCTTACATCAGTCCCCTTGTATAAGAGAACCACTAAAAGGGGCTATGTTGCAGCCCTTCACATTTCAAAGTCCACAGTACAAGTTAAGGAAGAAGGGCAGACTTATAACACACACAAGAACCAATCACCTTGCACTGACTGATAATCATAAAATAGCAAGACTCAAGTAGGTGCTTAATCAAAATTCACTATCCAAAATTGATAATAAAACTCTATATATATACAACATTGTTATCTTAAAAAATTTATCCAAAATTCGCTTACTTAGCATCGTATGTGTCACAATAATACCTATTTGTCGCCTATGTGACTTGACACTTGGCGAAAAATTGGAATGCCGAGTGTCATTGTCTTGCTCGTGGCCTGACTATGAGACTGACTTTATTTATTAGTAATATGATATGATATGATATGATATGATATAATATATAACCCGCGCATTTTGCACAGGTACACTCTAGTTAAATTAAATTGTAAGCATGTAGCTTACCATTGTAGCTAAATCAATTGACCCTGCTCAAACAAGCTATGTTGCTTGATTTTCAAAGAAAACTCCATCTACTTATATTATAACATGTGCATGATAAAAACTACTTTATTTAATTATTTATTTTTCCAAGCTACAATGTTTTATTGCTCACCATTGAAGCACTTTGTACCTACAAAATATACTATTAACTTTGCCCTAGACCCATACCGGTTGATGGCTCCACCATCAGTCTATGACTTAATCCCCTAGCAAAGGGATCTTCCAGGTTCTTTTTCGTTCGAACATAGTCTAACGAGACAACCCCATTCACTATAAACTACCTCACAGACTCGTACCCGACTCTTATGTGCCTTTTCTTACCATTGTAAACGCTGTTCTTAGCAACACATATAGCAGCTTGTGAATCACAATGCATTGACACAGGTGGTGTCGGCTTCCCCCACAAGGGTATATCAACTAACATATTTCTCAACCAATCTGCTTCTTGAGTAGCAAGATCCAATGCGATGAACTCAGCTTCCATTGTCGATCAAGCTATACAAGTCTGCTTTCCAGACTTCCATGAAACCGCACCCCCACTAAGGGAAAAAACATACCCACTGGTTGAACTTGTTTCGTCGCTATCCGTTACCCAATTCGCATCACAATACCCTTCAAGAACCAAAGGATGACCAACAAAATTCAATCCCCAAGCCATGGTTCCACGAAGCTATCTAAGCACACGCCTCAAAGCAACCCAATGTTGCTCACTAGGACAATGTGTATAACGACTAAGTTAACTAACTGCAAAAGCAATGTCAGGGTGAGTACAATTCATCAAAAACATCAGACTACCAAGCACCTTAGCATAATCAGTTTGAGACACACTATCTCCCACATTCTTCACCAAAGTTCCGTAAGGATCATAAGAAGTCTTCAATGGAGGCAAATCAAAACAATCAAAGTTCTTCTGAATTTTCTACACATAATGAGACCGAGACAGAAAATAACCTTTCTTGGTCTTGGTAACCTTAACACCAAGAATCACATCTACCTCCTCCAAGTCCTTCATCTCGAACTTTGAATTCAGAAATTTCTTAGTTTCATTAATGACATACATATTTGTGCCAAACATGAGCATGTCGTCAACATACAGGCATAAAATCACACATTGGGCACCAAACATTTTTGTGTACACACATGCATCATTACCATTGACAACAAAACCAAAACCAAGAATAGTATTATGAAATTTTTCATACCATTGCTTCGGAGCTTGTTTAATACAAGGATTTCTTTAGTCTGCACACCTTATTCTCCATGCCAAGAGCTACAAAACCCGGAGGTTGCTCCATATAGATCTCCTCCTCCAAATCGCCATTCAAAAAAGCTGTCTTAACATCCATCTGATGCACAATTAAATTGTATGATGAAGCCAAAGTAAACAATACACGAATAGTTTCAAGACCAAATTATGAGTGAGCCCCCTTATCACCAATCTAGCCTTGAACCTTTCCATAGTGTCGTCAGTTCTCATTTTTCTCTTGAAAATCCACTTGCACCCAATAGCTCTACTCCCTTTCGGCAAGTCCACGAGCTCCCAAGTCCCATTGGACATGATTGAATCAAGCTCACTGTTCACAACAACTTCCTTCCAGAAGTTTGCATCCACTGAGCTCATAGCTTCTTCGAACGTTTTCAGATCTTCATCCACAACCTATAGATACATCATGATCTCATCTAGATCATCCTCAAATTCATTAAGATTTCCGAACTCTGCCAAAAAATCTGTTAGGAAATCCGGCCCAAAGCTTGTCTCCACTCTCTGCCTTTTACTCTTCCTAGGTTGAATATCACTTTCAACCCTAGGGGAAGCATCTTCTGGCTCTGTATATGAAGGAACTGAAGAAACATCGTTAGTAATTAAGTTTTTCTTCAAAGGAAATACCTGTTCAAAGAATTCTGCATCACAGGATTCACACACATATAGAGCTATCTTCCAGGTTCATAAACCTGTTGGCGGCACTATTCTCAGCATAACCAATGAACACTGTATCATAGGTCCTTGAACCTATTGTTGAGCACTTGAACAAAGGATAACCCACTTTGCTAGACACCCCCACACTTTTAGATAACTCAGGTTTGGAGCATAACCCTTCCATATCTCATATGGCGTCTTGTCTAACTTCTCGTGAGTCCCCTGTTCTAGTGTTCTGTACATAATTTGCTGATAGAAGCACCCCACAAATTGTCTCGGCAACCCCGAACTCAAGAGCATTGCATTCATCAATTTTTCTAATCAAAACACCCCAAATCAAATTTCCCACTTTCACCTCTGTTCTCCCCTTGCAAATTTCATCAATTTCTTCTCTTTTTCACTAACCCCACTTAAACAAATCAAACACCCATGTCTTCAATCATCAACTAAACCTTCTCATTTCCCAAAAACTCAACCTTTTTGTTTTTTATTTTTTTTATTATTTTATTCAGAAAATGGGGATATTGTACGGGATGGTAGCTCGGGGAACGGTGATACTGGCGGAATATACGGCGGCGTCGACAAACGCCGGCACAATTGCGCGGCAAATTTTGGATAAAACTCCTGGAAATAACGATACCCACGTGTCGTACTCTCAAGATCGTTACATCTTCCACCTTAAACGCACTGATGGTCTTTCTGTTCTTTGTATGGCCGATGACTCCCTTGGCCGTATGCTTCTTTCTCTCTCTTATCGACTGTAATTGCTTGATTTTTCGGAATTCTTTATTAATTGATTTCTGGCCATTGATTTTATGTTTTTATTTGATAGTAAAATTAAGCTAAAGTTTGGGTTTATTTTGGTTTTAGTATTTGATTATGATTATTTTTGAGGGGTTTTTGGTGGGTTTAATCTTTGGTATTGATGATTATGTTTAATTAATGGATATTGAGTTGAAATTTGGGAAAATTTGTTGTTAAGGTTTGAGTTTGCTGGTTGATTGCTATGATTAGTTAGCGGGAGTATTCTAAATAAAAACTCATGATATGTAATTGATAGGATAATTTTGTTTATACTGTTGAAAATATAGTATTGAGATGAAATGGGGGAAGATAAAACTCTTTTCATTATCATGTTTGTTGTATTAGGTGTTCAGGTCAATCATGTGAGTATAATCGTATGAAAGAGTTTATATAAGGGGTATGCAAAAACCCGAAAGCTAGAGTTAAAGTTGTTTTCTTTTTGCCTCTCATTGTTGTGCTAGAGATAATGGTAGGTTTTCTACTTCCTTCAATTCATTTAGCTTAGTACTTCCCTTATAATTTGGATGTGTTCAGGTAGAATACCATTTGCATTTCTTGAAGACATACATCAAAGATTTGTGAAGACTTATGGACGTGCAGTACTGACAGCCCAAGCGTACGCTATGAGTGATGAATTCTCAAGGGTTCTGAACCAGCAAATGGACTACTATTCAAGTGATCCAAATGCTGACAGAATTAATCGTTTAAGAGGTGAAATGGATCAGGTTAGTGCCAGTCAGCTATTTTAATTCATCAATGGTGTATTCAAGAGTATCAGGTTTACTACAAATGAATCTCTACCTGAAGATAAATGGTTGCTTATTCAATTTCTCTGACATTCATTTGATGCCCTGTCATATATGCTGCTTTTTGATGTGTATTATTGACTTGATTTGTACATATTCACCTGTTTATTTAGGTGAGGAATGTTATGGTTGAGAACATTGATAAAGTGCTTGATAGAGGTGATCGTTTGGAGCTGTTGGTTGATAAAACTGCAAACTTGCAAGGAAACACTTTTCGGTTCAGAAAGCAGGCTCGCCGTTTTAGAAGCAATGTGTGGTGGAAAAATGTTAAACTTATGTATGTACTCAAATCTTTCTCTCTCCTTCTCTCTCTTTCTTTTCAGATCTTTGGTTATCTTATTCATTTTGTGCTTTGAATTTTCTTGCTTCCATTTTTTCAATTCCACTCTAAGAAAGAGGGGGGGGGGGGGGGGGGAGCTCTCATGCTCAAATCTTTTATTGGATGATTTTTCAAAGACATCTTAGCTACCCATACGTCCTAAAATCACAACTCTAGTCTGTCTCTAAATAGGTCACTTTCAAAAATCGAAATAGTGAAGGATAGTCAATGAATTTCTTATAAATGACCCCAAATAATGTGGTCTATTATCTTGGAATAGAAAGAGTATTTATTGCCCTTTTTTTCTATCCGTGACTTTTCACTCACTAGGTGATGCTGTTCATGCCTTGCTGTTCTGTTATTAGATTTGGATTATAAAATCATGGATTCATGGGGCTTCTTAAGTGAAATATAAGTCCTATTCGACTTGTCCCTGTTTTTGCTTCTAGTGTTTATTATTGATATCCTGCCCTTCAGCTATATTTGTTTTTTTGGTCATATTCCTCTCCACTAAAAGAAATTGTACGACGATCAATATATGATACAATGGTCTGAATGGACTGAATCTGATACATATTGTAGGGCTCGGGCAGTTGCATGATTAATATGGTTCTTAGAACTATTCTAGAACAATACATAAATTGGACCAATGAATGCTCCACTTCAGAGGCTTCTTAGTAGTAATGGAAATCCTTATTTCATGCAATGCTCGATCTTGCAGAGTTGTTCTGGTATTCATTCTCCTGATCATCATATATGCTGTGCTTGTATTCATCTGCCATGGACTTGCACTACCTAGCTGTCTGAAGTGAGGACGGACAAGTCAATTCATGATCATGGTGGTCAGCTTCCACACTTTTAGCTCAGTGGAACATGAGGTCTCTGCTTTCTTTCTCTTTGTGATCATTCGTAGTAGCTAATCTAATCTGGATCAATATGGTGGTATCTGTACAATATTTTTGTCTTTTGTACAATGTTATAGATAAATAGGAGATTCTTTGTATTTTGGATCTTGAATCTTAACAAGGAAGAAAAGAACTGTCCTTTTGGCTTATATCCTTCGAATTTGTTTTGACTTTTGAGTATATGACTCACCCTCGACTCCTTCATACCATTTCTGAAACAGAAGGTTTTTTGTAGGTTGGGTGGTTTTGACACCTCTAACTACAAGGCTATTATTTAATGGTTTAACCACTAGAACAAAGATACAGCGTAATCTAATCGAAAAGGAACAGATAAGTACAAAAACAAGTAAAATCTAAATTTCTAAAAGTTGGGCATAAATCATATAGGAGCCAAGTACTTGGAAATTTTATCATCACCTTCATAAAATGATCTTATTTCTCCGAATGCCATGTCAAACATACTTATATCTTGCCCACGGACTTCAGTTCCGTATGAAGCACCCCAATATACTCTTGATTCATCATCAATAAAGTATATAGCATTCTTTTGACAACTAGGAGCCTTTGATATATGAACCGCAGTAGCATAGTTATCACCAACAAATAACAAAAAATCACCCAGATCCTCAACTTTCTCCACAATGTTGTGCAATGACATGCTTAATTAATGGTACGGTAGCAATTTCTGTTGTCCCAGAGGTATACATCATTATTGCCATCCTCCCCAAGACCAGACTCTCTTTGGCGTAAGACTACAAGTAAATCACCAGCTAACTCCACCATATACATCTCTCCTTCAATCGAAATGTTTTGGGTTTTTTGGATTGATGTTTCTCTGCACAAATTTGAGGGAATGGTAATATACTCTTTAGCCTGAAGATGTAGAATCACACAACATAACAACCTTTTATCATACATAATGTTGCTGTTTATTCATTACACAATATTACATTAAATAGTACAATATGCTATAAGAATTATAGCCAAAGATGGAAGAACTAGTGGACAGTACTGGTAGATAATAAGGGGGAAATCAAACAAAGGCAAATGATGATAACAACACTGATACTAAAAATTACGAAACTCTGAACTGAGCGAGCTGAGAGGCACCACACTGCAGAAATCATACCGCTTGAGGATCAACGGCACACGATCTTGTTCAATGAAGCATCTTTATCTTTAGGATTTTGTGTGCGCGTAGGCTTAGGAAGTGACCTACCAATCCTCACAATGCAGTAATTTAAAATATGAAGAAGTTCCTTGTAGAAAGGAATGTAGGATAGCATAAAGATTATGACGGTAAAGAAAGCAACTATGTATAGTGCAATCTTGGTCCAACGCTGCTTGGTATTAATGGTGAGAATTATAGTTGCCGCGAAGGATACCATCATCATTGACACTGAGAGGAAGAGGAGGGTTAAGCCAACAAGCAGTCTTTGAGGAAGAGTTCTTTGGAAGTCTTTCATCCGAAATTGGGAGGTGAGTATGGTGAGAAAAACTACCACCGCTGTTAATCCGAATCCAAGAGAGAGCACGTCAGTTACTGTGAATACCAGGAATAAAGGTTGCCCAAGGAGAACTGGGAGCCCTGTACGTTCATCTGGACCTCCTGGTACTGTATACGCGGCAGCGAAGGCAACTGTGGCTATCAGAATGGTTACCACTGTACAGTGCTCTGCAGTTTGCTTCAGAAACTCTTTGGCCTTCTCACGAAGGTCTGCGTTTTTCTTGGCAAACAGTTCCCGAGCAGTCAAATTATCCTTATTCCGGTGATTGATCAGGTAATTTGGACAATGACCTTCCAATTTCTGCGTATACACATAGACATATCATAAAACCCCATAGAATGATGGACACGCACTAATAAGTATAAGAACAGTATATAATTACCTCTAATAAACTCAATTCATCGGACAATTCAGTGATTGGAGTTTTGATCCTCGTGTCCATAAGAACTTCTGCGGTGGTTAACTCTGTTGGACTTTTCTTTCCATTCTCGTTATCTTTTCCTGGGATGGATGGCTGGTAACCAACCTTGTGCATTATTGTGTTAAAGTCTTTGTCTATGGCTGTTAATTGGCCCCTCCTTGAAAGGTTTTTCTCACTAACAATGTTGAGAATAATTTCTATGTTGCGACTCCTGACTGCAACATGGAACAAATTTTCTTGATTATGATTCAAGTAGTCCACTGCCTGGGGGTACACCTCCAGTATCTCTTCGACGATCTCAATACAACCTTTTCTAGCTGCCAAAAGCAATGGAGCTTCATCGTCGCCTTTTTGAGGTTTTTTATTTGATGACTGCGTATTCTGGGTTTGACGTATATTAGGAGCAGTTGCCTCATTTTCTAGTGGCATATATGTGTTCTCCCAGGAAGTATCTTCTTCAATCAACTTTTTGGCAAGCTTTAGCGCATCCTCATTGCCCTTCTTCAGCTTTCTGACCTCTTCTATCATGGGACATATGCACCCTAACACAATCAAGTTACCAATGAGCAAATATGAAGTGAATTATAGACTCGTACATAGCTTACAAATCTTGTACTTACAGGTTCTACTTATTATGAAATTAATGGCTCTTCGAATCATGCCAACTTCTGCAGTTGTGTCTTGTAACTCTTGTTCATCAGTTGAGACAACTGGGAAAAAAAAAAAGCAAACATTTCACAGGTAAAATAATTAACTACAGAGTATTAACTGAGGCCGTAGATGAGCTAAATATTCTCTGATCTAATCAAACAGATACTCTGTATATATTGAGCTCATAAGGCTATAAATTCTTCAATACTTTACCACAGTACAGGTGAAGAAGACAGTAGATTCTTTAAGACCAAGCATGACATTCTTGCAACGATACGGAGTATCGGACAATAAAGGTGTTTAATTAGTCCATCACTCTATTGTATGCTGCAAAATGATTTGCTAATAAAAAGAAAAATGTGAAGACAGTGCAAAAGCTTTACATACTTGAGTAGACAAGCTTCTGTAGAGGTCCTAATATAGTTCCACTTTTGAAAGCTGTCGGACTGCGCGCAGGCATTTGTAGAGCAGTCATTTTATGAGGATCTTGTACATGATATAGCTCTGGATATCTCTCAGTTATATCAAGCGCCACATCTGTAAATTACAATTTACAAATTTTTAGAGCCTCAGAAACCTATTAATACTATTTATAGCCAAAATTACTTATGGGATTAAGCCTTTGTTTAATTGATTGGAACCTATTAATACTATTTGAACAAATCCTCCATATAAAGATCGTAACATTCATACATATAATGTGGGTAAGATGAAGGATCCTATTGAAACGACACCTCTCACAAGTTAAGCCAGCCTAACTCCGTAGGTCAACGCTTGAGAGTATAGGGAGAGGTAAGAGAATCCCCCTACTCACAAGCAATTGTAGTTGGCGGGGCTCCAGTTCCCACCAAAGCTTGGTACAGGGAGCATCAAAAGAATAGATTATCAATCTTTAAGAAACTTACCAAATTGTCTTGTGAGGATAGCTGTGTGAAGAATAGTGAGGTTATCATTGCGTTTTAAGAAGCGGAGGCGTTCATTCGTTGTTAAACCTTTTGATTCACAATACTTCTTGACTTCCTTGACAAGATAGAAGTACATACGTCTCCGGCCATAGCGGATAGCCTCAAGGAGAGGAGACTCACCCCAGGTATTACCTACATCTAGCAGTTGAGGTACTTTGTTCAACAGCTTCTCAATAAATGGAATTCCTTTGTTGGAGGTGGCTGCGTCGTGGAGTACAGTGCATCCCCAAGCATTCTTTGGTGTAGCTAGTTTTTGATAGAGCTCTTCAATTGACGAATCATTATCAAAAACTATATCCAAGAGTTTATCTGCTAACTTAAAATTTTTAAGGAAACATGCCATATGAAGCACAGTTGATTTGTGTAAGGTCGTATGATACAACGGACCAACTCCAGTCTTACTGCAAAGCTCTATGACACGGTCATTCTTACTAGGGTCATTCTTACATTGGTTAAGCGCGTGCACTATATCTGCCGTTAGCTTATTGTTTTGGGCCTTTTGGCGTGGATCTCCAACCTCCATGACGATAGGCCAAGGAGATTGGAATTTGGAAAAGGGGCAACTGATCAACCCTCAAGCTATTGAGTTAATTTATATTCTCACTGAATAGCATTTTTTGTAGGGCCAAAAATAAATAAAATCTTTACAAGTGCTAGAAAAGGAATTTTACTTTTTGAAAAAATATGTTTAAATTCCCTTTTCCCTCTCATTATAAATAATAGTCGTGTTCCTCAAGCTTTATTATATTAAAATTTATGACATACTCTGTAATTTTTTGAAGAGAGATCTTTCATATACTCATCAATACCATACATGTATTTTTTTCTTTTTTTTTTCTTTTCCCATAAGAAAGAGTTACAAGTACTTAAAATGTGAAAGCCTATTCTAAGCAATTTTTGTTTTCTCTTTAGTTTGCATTTACGTGCTTTAAATTATTTACCTCTTATACCTTTAATTTGGTTAAAATTAAATTATTCAAGCTGTGCGAAGAACAATGTAATTTCTCAATTTGGTTAAAACTCTCTTTGGATGGTAAGAGAGGATGCACATTATGCTTCATTTATCCAACAAATCTTTAAACTAAATAGGGTTTTCTTAAGAGTAGCAAATCATGTAGGTTAATTCTTGTTGATTACTATCGATCCTATTTAGTTACTGGTTTATGTAATTGATGTTGTTTATCTTACTAATGGGCTATTTCTAATGTCATTCACATAAATTTATGAAAAGGATGTTATTATGCTTGGTCTTGGTATATATCCCTCTTGTCTTAACTTCTCATTGAAGGTAAAGATTCAAGCTCACATACGATTTCTAATAACTTTATCCTATCATTATTGCTTAGACAGCTAAGAAAAGTTAATATTGGTCTAATTTAATTTACAGCCATATAGATAAATAAGTTTGTTTACAACAACACTGATATTGCCTTTCCAAAATGAGAGTGAGGGATAACTCAAGTGGTTAGAACTTCCCTCCGATTCTAGGAGATATTGGGATGAATTCTCATCACCTGCCCTTGTGGCTCTCTAAACACCAAAAAAAAAAAAAAAGTATCGCCTTCCCAAAATAATAGGCCTCTATGGCAGGTTGAAAAGGCTGACAGAGTAGATCCACACTAGTTTGCAGTGAAAGCTCTTCGTCGCCTATTTCTTTTTTGGTCTTTCTAGTTTATTTTTTTTATGAAATTTACATAGTACACTAAGATGTACTCTGCTAAAAATAATAGTATTATTTGACTTTTAATAAAAAAATTATCAAAAAAATTTTCTCTATAATTTAAGGGATTTGTTAGTTATTTTCCATATTAATAGTTTTCAAAATTATATTTGATATTTTTGGAGAGATATAATTACAATTTCGAAATATAGAGAAAGAATTTTTAGAGAGAGAAACTTTTTAGCTGAGAGAATTAATGGTAGTGTAGTTTAAATTTCAACATGATTCCAAAATTGTAGATCTGTTGATAATACATACAAGAATGAAGATTTGATAATAATTTAATGATGGTGAATTTGATAATTTCATAATCAAATGAGAAGGTACTTTTTAGTTTTTTTTTTTCGTATCTAAATTTCATAATCATAGTTATGATGTAGAAGATAATGATAATGCTCTTTTAAATTATTTTCATAATTTGTGGTTTTCGTAATCAAATGAGATAATTTTTCTAAATTAAATTTCATAATTTATGGATTTCGTAATCAAAGAATTTTTGTTTATTATTGTTTTTGTATTATTTTCTGAGGTTGAAGATGATGTTCTTCTAATTATGATGAATGTTCTTTTATCACTTATACGATCTATATTCATTTTGTTAATTGTAATGAAATATGCTCTTTAAGTCTAATTAATATGTTCTTTAAATTATATGTTCTGAGTTTAAGTCTAATTAATATGTTACATTACAAACAATGTTATTTAAGGTATAATGTTCTGAGTTTCAATACTATGAAATATGTCCTTTTTATTTTAATAATACGTTCTTCTATGTTTTTTTTTTTGACAAAAGCAAATGATATTAATAAAATCAGAGTTTACAACATACGAAATAAAACCTAAATCTTACTACATGGCTTTTAACATTTAAGCCTTTTCAACATTCGACACTAAAAACCAAACATAACTGGAGTTGGCCGGAAAACTTGCAAAACAGGACCTCTTTATAGGCCAAAGAGCGGATATCCACTTCAAAACACAACGAGAGCAGAGAGAATCGAAACTGTTTGATCATGACTAGTTTAACTATACCTAGTGGGATCAACTTATCACCACGTAAGGTCTTCAAACCGATCACATGGACATGTGACCTATCATTCCTAAGCTGTTCTTGTTTGCAAGAAAGCTTTAACAACGTCAAGGCTCGTGAAACCCCAAAACAAAGTTTGGGAGCCTGCTTCAGATAGAAAACATCAAGAGTAATAAACGCAATGATTACTCCAACGAAAGGAGCAGAATGACAACCATAGTCATTCCACCTTAAAACACACCACACCCTAGTCATGACCAACTTCTCATTCGTCTCCCATACAACGGCAACCCACGTTACCTCTCTCGACACAACAACACCAAAACCCTTGACAAGGTATCTCAACTCCCTCCTCACACAACCATCCAATAAACTATAGCCAAAACAACCAGAAAAACAGGACAACAACCAAGAAAGACTCAAATAAACCATACATGACTTTAAAAAATAAAGCAAACTCTGAATAACAATAAAAACATACATACTTAAAAATAACGACCAAATCAGAGAGCCCCTTTCGGATCTTAAATCCGAAACCATAAAAGCAAAGAACCTCAAAACCCTAACCCTAACTTCACCGTTTCCGTCATGAAACACTCTTGACGGCGGCGTTAGGCCTAGCCTCCAGCGCAAGGACCCACGAAACCCTAACCCTAACTTTACCGTTTCCGTCACGGTCATATTAACCAATAACCTTTATGACGGTGGCGTTAGGCCTAGTCCTTAGACCGCTTGTTTCGCCGGCGAAATCCTTTGCAAGTGAACCTTCCACTCCAAGGTGGGAAAACAGGGGCTACTCTAAAACTTTTAGCCGTATAAAGGGTCACAAACCCCTTCAAGACCAAGAAAAGGAAAAAGAGGATAAAAGAGAAGGCAAGAGGCGACGCTCGGACTTTGAAGCCGCCCCACAACAGAAACGAAAAAGGGAAACGAGAAGGGAGAAGAGGAGGACGGAGCCTGCCGCTGCGACTCCGAACTCCGGTGACGTCGAAGTAGACAGGGATAGAGACGGCAGAAGGTGAGGACGGAGCCTGCCGCTGCGACTTCGAACTCCGGTTACGAAGAAGAGGACGGAGATCGAGAAGGGAGAAGATGAGGACGGAGAAGGGAGATTAAAGAGATGGAGAAGGGAGAAAACTCGCCGGAGAAACGGCTGCGGCGCCGGATCTCCGACGAGCGTTTAGGTTTCCGGCAGAAGGCTTGATTGGAGGAGGAGAGAGAACAGAGAGTTTTGGGGCAACTTCTTTTTTGATACTTAGATTATATTGCTCCGTTCTTCTATGTTAATGTTCATTTTTTTTTAAACTTTGTTCTTTTGGGTATTCATTTCTGAGGTGTTTTACTCCTTATATATATGTTCTATTATTACATTACTTATGTTCTTTTTTGTATCCCTAATGTTCTTTGATTTTGGTTCTTATGTTCTTTGAGGTATTGAGTGATGCACATTTTCTTTTATAGCACATGTCATTTTAAAAGTAGTTTGTAAAGTCATTTTTAATTATTAGTACGTATATTCATCTTGAATATTATTTATTATTTATATATTAATTAACATTTAATAATTGTGTATTTTCTATTTAGGATCATGAAGATTGAAGACGATATTTCTTTTTGGACATCATCTATTGATAATTGATATTTAGATCCAAAAAAATCCATAATATTAATATAGAACTTGATGATATTATAATAAACCTTATTTAAATTATCCTGTTTAAAATTAACCTGCATGGTCTACAGACTAAATTTCATGAACATTTTCACTAAAAGAAATGAACATTGTATGACAATGAAAGTACATTGCAATTACAATCAGAGAACATGGATATTTAAAATATTTTATCGAAATATCTTATAAAGATCATTGTATGATATAAGGTGGACATAAAGAATAAAAATAGTATTAATAATTTATTTTACATTACAAACAAATATAAAGTATATCATGTATTCTAATAAAGAACATTATAAAAATATATACAGAACACAATAAATTTTAATTTAAAAAGAAAAAAAAAACAAATACTACTATTAAGAATTCGAATAGTTTATTTATACAAAGTTGTAAACCAGGGCACGGGCCGGGTTGGCCCGCGTGCCGCCCGGCACGGCCCGCCGTTCGGAGCAGCCCGGCACGGCCCGAAGTCAAGCACGGCACGACACGAAGTTCGACTTCCGTGCCACGGGCCGTGCCACGGACACGGTGGAGAATTCCCAGGCACGGCCCGGCACGAGCACGGGCATGACCCGCCGTGCTGGCCCGCAGGCACGGCCCGCGGGCCAACGGCTATAAAACGGCTATAAACGGCTAGTTTTTTGCCAAAAATTCTATAAATACTCACCTCCATTTCATTCCCAAATCACAAAATCACAATCTCTTCTTCTTATCTCTTATATTCTCTAAATCTCTAATAATCCTTATTTTCTTAAATTCTCTAATTATTCTCTTAAATTCTCTAATTATTTTCCTAATATCGGAAAAAATTAAAAAGTTCGTAATCGTAATTAGTGGAGCGTTGAAGCACGGTTGTAAGATCTAAACTAATCTTAAATTTATTATTGTTTTATTGTTATTATTAGAATAATCTTGTTTAATTATTATTGTTGTTAATTGTTATTGTTGTTGTTATAATTGTTGTTATTAATTATTATTATTGTTACAATTGTTGTTATTATTTATTTTTGTTGTTATTGTTATTGTTATAGTTGTTGTTATTAATTATTATTATTGATATTTTTATTGTTAAAATTGTTGTTATTAATTATTATTATTATAGTTAACCACTTTTTATTAAAAAATTAATTGTTAATTATGGCATCGAACAACCCATTATCTAGGTCTAG